TACAATAAATCAAAAAAATTAGCCAGGCATGGTAGCACACGCCTGTAGTTCCAGCTCCTTGGAAGGCTGAGGTGGAAGGATCACCGGAGTCCAGCAGGTCGAGGCTGCGGTGGCCGGGAGCGGCCACTGCACTCCAGTCTGGGTGAGAGTGAGACTCCAACTCAAAAAAAAACAAAAGAACTTTTTCTTTTGATACTGCAGACAACTCTTGTATTCTTGTAAAACAGCATGCATAAACAAAATCAGTGAATCAGTTGCCCCTAGCTAGGTCAGAATTATCTTCCTGTTACATAAAGGAAAATACATCAGAGAAAGAATTCATTGTAGTAATTTTTCTATCTATTGGGTAAGTGGAAGGAATGGTCCCCATCATGTGTTAGGAAAAAAAGACTAGTAGTACCAGTAGACCAGAATCATTCTAAGAACTTTGTAAAAATCCACTAACATTCCACTTTGTGACTAGTTGATTGTATGTGGGCTATTTTCATAAGTCATGATATCATAGATTGCATTTGATACAGGCTTTATGAATATAAATATGAAGAATAATAATGATATAAAAAAATGCCTTAATCCAGGGCCAAGCACAGTGGGTTATGCCTGTAATCCCAGCACTTTGCGAGGCCGAGGCAGGAGGATTGCTTGAGCCCAGGGGTTCAAGACCAGCCTGGGCAATATAGTGAGACCTTGTCTCTACAAAAATTCAAAAAATTAGCCAGACGTGGTGGCATGTGCCTGTAGTCCCAGCTACTCAGGAAGCTGAGATGAGAGGATCACCTGAGCCCAGGAGGTCAAGGTTGTTGTGAGCCATGATTGTGCCACTACACCCCTGAACAACAGAGGGAGACCCTGCCTCAAAAAACAAACAAACAAACAAAAAACCTTTAACCCCAAACAAAATCTACTTAATAATATGATACCACCATTGCTTAGTCATCATAAAGTTAATTTGAGTTAAACAACCATTCAAATGGTGAAGTTTAAAAAGTGTTGAATCAGTACCTCAATATGATCCATTGCTTTCTGCCATACTGACTGCTTCTCCTCTGCACTGTGTCCAGGAATGGATAAGATATTGTGAATGTAATTAAAGACTTCCTCCTGAAGAGCACAGACAATGAAATTTATTCATTCATTCATTCGCTCAAGCCATATTTAGTTACTACCTACTATCTGTACCAGCCTTGGTAAACATCTATTATGTGGAAGTGAAAAACCATTTGGAGACAGTTAACTGATGGAAAGTTAGCACTAAAGAGAAAGCAACTGCTTAAAATTTTGGGTAGAAACTTTTCCCCATTAATTCTGATTTCAATTTATTAACCTTCAATGACCTAATGAGGGAATATCACACTTTTGTATTTGGTGATTCTGTCCGCACTCCCAATTTCATCTCAAATCACTCTTGCTCCACCTATATTGACTTTTGCTTCATCTATATCATTTCTATTCAATTCCTTGAACAAGTCCATTTTTTCCCTACCTCAGGTCCTTTGTATATACAGTTCCCTATCCAAGAACACTCTTCCCTTGGCTTTTCACTTGACTGGCTTCTCAAATTCAGTTTATATGTTACTTTCTCTGAGGTCCCTTTCCTGGCTGCTCTACATAAATCAGTTCCCCATTATCCTCTAAAGTTGCACCCATTGTCTCATGCCTAGCACTTACCACAATTTGTAATCTTATATTTGGTTTTGTTTACTGTCAATTTCCATCATTAAATTATAAGTTTCAAAACTGCAAGAACTATATATATTTTAATTATCAGTGCATACTTGGTTCATAGCAAGCACTCAATAAAACGGTGGTGAATGAATAAAGAAAGCCTTGGATCAGCAAGCATATATCCAAATATTTCTACTGAACAGTTACTTCTACTAGATGGAGACAAAAACTAAATTTAAAAAAAGGGTAAAGCACTTTCTTACTCACTTCTCTCAGTGGGTCACGTAAGTAGCAATCAATAATTTTGTCATACTGGTGTTCTCGTTCATACATAAATTCACAAATTTGATAGCTAGAATGTAAAAGGAAAAGCTTCAGTGTATCAAATAGGCAGGCAGTTAGTAGCTTACTGTCTTGAGAAGTTCACTCAGGCATACAAGTTAGTATTGAGAGACCCGCCTGGGCAACTTGGCAAGACCTCATCTCTACAATAGATCAAAATGAGCTGGGCGTGATAGTGCACGCATGTAGTTCCAGCTACTTGGAAGGCTGAGGCAGAAGGATCGCCGGAGCCCAGCAGGTTGAGGTTGTGGTGGCCGGGAGCGGCCACTGCAATCCAGTCTGGTTGACAGAGTGAGATTCCAACTCAAAAAAAAAAAAAAGAACAATGAATAGAGCAGATGTAATTTCTACCATTAAGTAAAGTTATGTTAAGTAAGGGAGATAAACATCTGCCATTTCCCTAAATACAGGTTTAATATGCTACTGGATACTATGTTCATAAAAAAATTTGAGCCGGGCTCGGTGGCTCAGCCTGTAATCCCTCGCTTTGGGAGGCTGAGGTGAATGGATTGCCTGAGCCTGCGGGTTCGAGACCTGCCCAGGCAACTTGGCGAGACCTCATCTCTACAATAAATAAAAAAATTAGCCGGGCATGGTAGTGCGTGCCTGTAGTTCCAGCTATTTGGAAGGCTGAGGCGGAAGGATCGCCGGAGCCCAGCAGGTCGAGGCTGCGGTGGCCGGGAGCGGCCACTGCACTCCAGTCTGGGCGATGGAGTCAGACTCCAACTCAAAAAATAAAAATAAAAATAAATAATAAAATAAATTTAAAAATAAAAAATTTGAAAGCTGGGTACAAAAGAAATACTAAAGCAATAATGTATCAGATAAAAAACTGTCAATATGTTAGATATCAACTTGTAATTTGCAAAAATTTAATATAAAGTTTCTCTGTTCAGACTTAAATATGTCAAATGAAACATTAAACAAACTAAATAGCAGTGTTAATACAGTATATTTTATTTGTTATGTCAAATTCTGCATGGTATCTAATAAACCTAGGGTAACAGTTAAAAAAATATGAAATACCATAAAAATAGTAAGGAAACATCTAAAATAATAAACCATAAGGCTGCTATTCAATTTTCATATTAAAACAATTATACAAACATCAAATATATATACCCTGTCAATTTCTGAAAATTTTACTAATTTCTAGAATTCAATTGAAAGGCAAAAACACTTAGGCTTTTGTTGTTATTTATTTAACCTTTCCTAATTAAAAAAGCAGCAATTTATCCATAAACTGGTTTCAAGTTAGAAAAGTGTCATGGAAAATTAACATATGACTTCAAAACAACTTACAACTCAGCTTTTTCTGCCATGCAGATGAGCCGACTCTCTTCAAATTGAACTATGCCTCCAGCCTGCAGCAATTCCAAAAGGACCTGAACATTTGAAATAAATGGATAAAAACATTTTGGAATTTACTAGCTCTTTAAGAGTGCATTCAGTCATGCACCATAACTTTTATTGTTTTTCTTTTGTATTCTTACTTGATGATATTTTGACAAGTTTTCACACATGCAAGAGGTTAGACTAAAATTATAATGTTGATCATATTGTACTGAAGACTTATATAAAAATAAATAACTTGGCCTTTCAGACATGAAAGGAATACCACAGTGTTTGCAAATAAAGCCCTATTAGAAAAATGAAGTGAATCACCACTAAGCTAAAAATGTCTGTATATATCCTTTCAAGAAATGAGGTTTTTTTACCTCACTTTTATGTCTTAAGGGTCTTTAAAATCAGTTGTCCACAGATAGTATCCATGTTTACAAGTTAATTTTTAAAAATTAGACATTGGAATTTTCATAACAGCACTATTCAAAATAGCCAAAAGTTAGAAAATATTCAAATGTCCATCAATGGGCAAATGAATAAACATGATATGGTACATACATACAATGGAATATCATTCACCTTAAAAAGGAAGGAAACTCTGATACATGCTACAGCATGGATGAAACTTGAGCACATTATGCTAAGTGAAATAAGCCAAACACAAAAGGACAAATGCTATATGATTGCATTTATATGAGGCACCCTAGCGTAGTCAAATTTGTAGAGACAGAAAGAATGGTGGTTGCTAGGGATTAGAGGAGGAGAGAATAGAGAGTTACTGCTTAATAAGTATGGTGGTTCAGTTTGGGAAGATGAAAAAGTTCTGGAGATGAACGATGATGATGACTGCACAACAATGTGAAAGCCGCTGAACTGCACATTCAAAAATTGTCAAAATGGTGATTTTTATGTTTTATATATTTTACCACAATAAAAAAAAAATTGGGCTCATATAATTAACTACCACACTAATTAGCTGAAACAAAGGAATCCACATTACTACCTGTATTCAACATAATTTAAAAAAACAATCAAAATTTAAGCAGCTGTTCTCTTTCCTAAGACAGCCTGTAGCAGTCACTGGACCACAGCTCTGCAGAGAAAGGGTCACTGTTGCTATCCCATGGTCTTTATCTGAGTCTCAACTTCCCAGCTGTGCACTAATACCATAAAAAAATCAGCACAACTCTCAAAGTATTTAATTTTACTGGTTTACTTACCTGACAAAGTTTGGCTATCAATACTAAATGGGTTGACTCTCTTAGTGTTTCCAATTACGGTGGGTAAGCTTTTTTTTTTTCTGAGTCAAAGTTTCACTCTGTTGCCCAGACTGGAATGCAGTAGCACACTCATAGGCACCGCAGCCTTGACTCGCTGGGCTCATGCAATCCTTCCGCCTCAGCCTTCCAAGTAGCTGGAACCACAGGCATGTGCCACCACACCTGGCTAATTTTTTGATTTATTGTACAGACGTGGTCTTGCCAAGTTTCTCAGGCTGGTCTCGAACCCCTAGACTTAGGCAATTCTTTTGCCTCTGCCTGCCAAAGTGCTGGGATTACTAGAACTAGAAGGGACCCTCAAGAAAGCGGCATAAATAGAAAGAAGTTGTAATTTTTTACTATCTCACGGTAATTAATGAAGAGACAGATGGATTCTAGTCTCCAGAATGGCCAATCCTAATACAGTGGGTTTTTAGAACCATCTCACAAGTTGAGTGTGCCAATACTATGAATGCTACTTCTTTTCTGGTTCAGGATCACAGCAGTCAACATTGGCTACCAGATTAATGATACTGATGGGACACAGGGCATACCAAGAGCTAACTATTGCTACATAAGACGAGTCCAGTCTACCTAAGCATTTAGTTTTATATAAGCTCCTCCATTTAATCTATTTTCTAGTTGCCACTAACTTTAACTTAGTATTAGGGTGTGGCACAAGTCATTTCCCACTTAAGTCTAGCGAAGTCTAGTACAGAAGAGTTTTTTCTGGCTTAGTCTATCTTCCTTCTCATTTTTTAGCAAAAAGATATCTAATAGTTCAGACCTGTTGTCTTTCAGAGTGTCGGGAGTCATCGTCAGGACTACAGAGGAATTCAAGAACCTGGGAAAAGGAAAAGTATTTTATTTGATATCAGCATGCGTGCAGCACTGTTAAAATAAAAACAACAATAACTAACTTTCAATATCACCAACTCATTCACTCAACTATAATAAATACCACAGGCATATGTGCCTTCCCAACTGTACATGAAACATTTTAAGCTAAGTACAGGAAACACTTTAAGTTAAGTTTTAAAGCTAATAATATGTGCCTTATAAACATATTTCTTTACTATTTAGAAACATAATTAGAAGGCAGTGTTATCACTATATCTTAAGGTTCCTGATACGATAGACCAAGCAAAGCATGAACTTAGAAGTCAGACCACTTGAATTTGAATACTAACCTTGTTAACACTTAATAATAACATTTCCTGTTAATAATAACACTTACTAAGTATTACCTTGGATGACTACTTGATCTCTCCAGGCTTTAGTTTCCTTATCTGTAAGGATAACTATCCCTATTTCAGAAGTATTGAGAGGGTTGAACTAACATATACATATAAAGCTTTGGAACAACGCCTGACACTATGAAGTGCTCAGTAAATGCTAGTCATTATTAGCTACTTTCTCCAGAAAAGAAGTTATTTTTTTTTCCACCTAGACACACAGGAGATATTTAACTGGGATTAGAAGACATCTTCAGAGTCAAAGTCATGTGTAAGTAAATTCAGATTTTCCTAAAGTAATATCTTCTCCAGATGATGGTCATCATAGTCTTACTGCCAGTGAGATAAGGCGATATTCAACTTGGAAAATTATTGAGCAAAGAATTCTAGGCAATTTAAAGCAACAGAATAATTTAGAGAACAGAATCTCTATAAACCAATCTCCACAAGCCATACTGCTATGGAACGAGGTTACCAGGCAAAACCATACTATCTGGAACATATGATTAAAATACACATATACACACATAAACACACACACCCCTAACCTAGACCCAAAACCTGAACAGGCCTCTCCTTAAGACATTTATCCAAATTAAACAGTCTGTCATCACATTAAGAAACAGTGTAATCCAGTGAACTTTGCACAGTAAATAAAGGAAAAACATTTCCAGTTCTCATTGTTAAAAACACATACCTGATCAAAAAGTGTTCTGTTTACAAACAAAGTATTGTCAGGTTTTGCAAGCTGCCGAGCAAGGAATGTAAAGAGACACCCCACTTGTGAGGGGGTAAAATCTGAATTCTCCACCATAACCTGATGAGCAAAGGAAACCATTTATTCAATACACCATCTGGTTTGATGCAAAAAATATATACAATTAGAAGGAGGGAAGTCTCATTACTGGAAACTCATGAAAAGATTCTTTTACTGACTGTGCAACAATTGAATTCAATGCCATTTAGAAGAAGCACAACCACTTGCATACTCTGAAAGGAAAACATTTTAGTGATTTTTGGCATATATCTAGTGCAACTTGGATGAGGACTGAATTGTCAGAGAGGTGGATGTGGATTGCAAATAAATATTAATCATGTTTCCCTCAGGAATTCTTAGAGAATTTACTAAAATTCAATTTAAATTAAATTAAATAGCCCTTCTAAAAATCTGTCCATTAACCAGGGGAAAAAGTTGCTTTGGGGTATTTTTTGGGGTATTTTTTTTTTTTTTTTGAGTTAGAGTCTCACTCTGTCGCCCAGACTGGAGTGCAGTGGCCGCTCCCGGCCACCGCAGCCTCCACCTGCTGGGTTCTGGCAATCCTTCTGCCTCATCCTTCCGAGTAGCCGGAATTACAGGTGGGCGCTACCACGCCCTGCTGATTTTTTGATTTATTGTAGAGATGAGGTCTCGCCAAGTTGCCCAGGCGGGTCTCGAACCTGCGGGTTCAGGCAATCCACTCACCTTGGCCTCCCAAAGTGCTGGGATTATGGGCTGAGCCACCGAGTCCAGCCTGCTTTGGGGTTTAAGAGTGAGATAACCTAAGAGTGAAGGCATCCTAGAAAAAAAAGTAGGCTACCACAAACATCAATGAAGTAAATAGCTTCTGCCTTGTCTACAAGCAATGCCCAGAACAGATGATTTTGTATAACAGGCTTTTGACAATCACAGTGTCAAATCATAGTCATTCCTCTGCTTTAACTCAACTCACATATCCTGAGTACTCATAATGTGTAAGAGAAAATTTAGTTCAACTGGTTGGAGAATGGATTGAAAAGAAATAAGAAAAATAGCTTTTAAGATAAGCTTTAAAGCCCATGCAAAACTTTTGACAAGAAAAATGGCAGCAAATAGGGTAAAGCTGGCAGAAAAAAGACTGTGAGCAAAAGCACGGACACAAAAAATTTGAGTTTGTTAGGGGGTACTACAATTTTCATTAGCATGAAGCAGCATAGATGAGGAGGAAAAGATCAGATTAAAAGGGAAGATTAGGCCTCAAATGTCATCCTAAGGAATCAAGAATTTATTCCACAGATAATTGGGAAGTTATTAAATGTCATCAACCAGGAGACTTGATCATGATCCATTCTGTACTTAGGAAAATTACCTTGTCAGCAAGGAATGCGATAAAATAGCAGAAGGAGGAAATAGAAGGCAGGGAGGTCAAGATACCAATGACTGCGGGGGTCCAAGGAAGAGGCAAAGGGCTCTGAACTAAGGCAGTGATTATGAAGATGGAAGGAGGAACAGATAAAAAAGACACCTCAGAGACAGGACAAGTATTTCTATGTGTGGAAATATGTGGTTTAAAGGAGCAATAAAAAATGACAGATGTTGAACCTGATTAGTAGGTGGAATAATGATGCCATTCACAAAGAGAGAATGCAGAAGTCTGGGAGGAGGACCATGTATTGTTGCCGGCTGGCTGAATTCATGGGGGCAACTCTACAACAAATTAGGGCATAGTACCCTGACATATCTGTTGAAGTCCCAAGCTCCTTCCTTCCATACTCTATTCTAAGATAAATAAGGTTTCTCCCATCATAAAACATTTCCTAGCTTGAGATACAGTAAGGACACCTCTTTCTTTTACCCTTCCTGCTTCAGTCTTTTACCCTTCCTGCTTCAGTCCTGCAATCACACTTGTTCAAGTGCATAATCATTACTGGAGTATGTGGATATTTCAAGTTATAAAAAAACTACCTCAGCAAGCCCTTCAGGTCCCCTCCCACTGTGGGAACTTTTCTGTCCTCTCAATAAGTCCTGTTTTTTTAAAAAAAGAAAAAAGAAAAAAAACTACGTCCCAAATATATGACTGTTGCAGTCGTATAAATCCAATTCATAATATTCAAAGAGCTTTCTAGATCTTTAAAATACTCAGTCATCACTCCTTTTCAGTGTCTCCTCTGCCTTTAGACCTTCTTTTTGCTTTATAAGTGTAAACTCCTAAATTGTCTGATCCTACACACTCGTGTAGGAGAAAACAGCTCTTACTCAAAGCCAATTCCTCTGCCACCTCAGTGAACGTCTAATTGGTTATCATCCTACAAAGTGTCTACTTCTTTTTGACCTATTTCAGAGACCATGCTTACAATATTTTCTAGTCAATCTTGTAAAAAGTCACAAATAAACCGTTTTTTCACTCTCTGTCTGCAGCCATTCAGCACACATAAAATTGCCCATACACCTGTCTTCTGGTCACTGCCTAGGCTCTTACACCCACCAGCCCCATAAAAAAATACACTTTAACAAATCAGCACACCTCTAGCACACCTCTAGCACCAGAAATGAGATAAATGATCTCAGGAGTTCATTCTTCATTGACTCAAGGTAAATATCTTTAAAATCTAATTATAGAGTTGTGGGGTACAAGTAAGAGTTTACTGCATAAGTAGGCTGCATGCAATTCGTGAAGTTGACCTGGGGTAAATGTTTTTGAAACAACATTTAAGAATGGCAATTCATCATAGTAATAATAGTTGCGTACTTTATGGAACTTTATTCTTTTCATTTGAATTATTCTTCCAACTCAGTACAGTTTTAAATTCAAATTTCAATTTAATCAACTTACAAATATTTCTTAAACATCTGCTTCGTTTCATGTATTGTGCTGGACATGCTCTAGGCATGCTAAAACAATGACCACACCTCCCAAATAATAATGATTAGAAGAATCCTCACAGTCTCAATCTTCAGGAAGTTCAAGTCCAGACAGGAAAATATGTAAACACTGCGATTCGGTATATTAAATGTAGCATAAAGTGTTGTATGAACACAGAGGAGCAACTAGCCTAGAAGTGTGAGAGAGGGTTCAAAAAGTTTGCTATGGATGTTATTTGAGTTCAGTCTTGGAAAATGGTTAGGAATAGACCAGTCAATGAAAGAGAAGAAAAATGCATCATAGGCTGAAAAAAAAAAAACCCCATGCAAAGTACAATATACCATAAAGACAACACAGAAAGTCTAGTGTATTCCAATAATTTAATATGGCTGAGAAGTGCATGATACAGCGTGTGGGGGATTGAGAAGGTATGTTGAGGTGGGGAGGCAGTTGAGAGAGGGGAGCAGTTATAAAGAAGTATTTGGACCAGAAAATATAGAAGAATCTTGGATGTAGTGTTAAACTCTTAAAATGGATATGGCAGAAGTTACTACTTACACTCCAACATCTATTCTTTCCTCCTAACTTAGAAACAGAACACCTCATGTTTAGATGAGCATGTGGTTACCAAGAACACAGATGATGTTTCTCAGCATCTCTTAGCAACTAAGGAGCCATATACCTAAGTTCTTGGCAATATGATGTAAGCAGAATTATAGTACATAACTTTTAGGAAGTTTCTTTAAGGAGAGGCAACACTTCATCTTTTTCTACCTGCAGGTTGGCTAGAATGCAGAGGTAAAGGCTGGACCCTGAGCAAACATATTGAAGACAGAAATCACATACTAAATATAAACCTAAGACACAAGAAATCTGCGTCCCTGATAAGTTTATGAACCACTCTATTAGAATAGGCTGCCTATTTCTAGACTTCCATGAGAAAAATAAACTCCCATCACAATAGACCTCTTGCTATTTTGAGTTTTCTCTCTCACAGCAGAACTTAATTCCAATTGACCAACAGAAGTGCCATAGAAGAAGTTAAGAATAGGGAGATTATTTAGGAAGGTATTTTGGAAATCTGGGTGAAAAAATTCTCTATACTAGCCACCTGAATCAAATTGGCATTATCTGAGAGCTTAGCAAACCTATTCTTATAATCATCACTGCCTATCTCACAAAGTAGCTCAAAGAGATAAAGTATGCGTTGAAAATTATCAAGAACTATTACACATGTAATGCATTGATGTTATGCACAACTAGAAAATATTTTAATACTGTTCTCTTGTCCAAAATGATCTAAAAGTCACTAAAAAGAAGAAATTTCCATTTTACAGTCAAATGAACAGACTGAAAACTCTAAGCTTTCAACTGCAAGAGGAAACTGGCCTGCTTGAAGTTATGCAGATGGAAAGAAGAATAACCTGTCTCCGCATTAATTCATTAGCAGCAGCTGAACTCAAAATAGCTTGCACTGAATCTAATTAGATTTATATTGACATAATCAGCTCCATGTGCCTCAATCATTTTTAAGTGTCACTTATCATCTCAGAGCCGCGGCAAAATATGGCACTACCTTAGCAACAAAATGATGTTGGTATGAGACAGAAGATTCTTCATGTTAATTATTTTCTCAAAGCATTCTGAAGTAAGCCTTTATTATTACACATAATCATACTAAAATAGCAATGACCACAATATACATTTCTCAAGAATAATACTCTGGATCCTGGTCTCCAGTCTAAAGCTGAGATATATTCAGTTTTTAAATTAATGATTAGGATTTATTCAGCTCTTCAGAACAATGATGCCATAATAAAATTTTAAGATATGACTACAACATTCCACTAAAGATTATTTTATACCCTGCTATAAAACAATTCAATTATCTTAACGTAAGTAGCAATATAAAGACATGTACTCTCTGGATACTTACTTTCAACAAAATATCCACAATTCGCTGTTGATATTCCACAGCTTGCTTGTCATTTTTAAAATCTTCAAAGGTCTAAAAGGGAGAAAGAAATTTTCAAAAGTAATTATGATCTGCACATTTTGGAAGAAAACAAATTATTTAATTATTGTTAATAAAATCCAAGTAATTCTCAAATAAGATAAACATCCTGATCAGGTTTCACCTTTAATGAGAAGTTATTTGTAGTGAGTCAAGTGAGTCCAAAGCTATAATATTTAATAGTACAACCAGCCGGGCTCAGTGGCTCAGCCTGTAATCCCACGCCTTTGGGAGGCTGAGGTGAGTGGATTGCCTGAGCCCGCGGGTTCAAGACCCGCCTGGGCAGTGAGACCTCATCTCTACAATAAATCAAAAAATCAGCCGGGCGTGGTAGCACATGCCTGTAATTCCAGCTACTTGGAGGGCTGAGGTGGAAGGATCGCCAGAGCCCAGCAGGTTGAGGCTGCGGTGGCCGGGAGCAGCCACTGCACTCCAGTCTGGGCGACAGAGTGAGACTCCAACTCAAAAAAAAAAAAAAAAGTGCAAGGTATTCTGAGACATTTTATTTTATTTATTTATTTGAGTCAGTGTCTCACTTTGTTGCCCAAGCTAAAGTGCAGTGGCATAATAACATCTCACTGCAGCCTCGACCTTCTAGGCTCAGGGGATCCTTCTGCCTCAGTCTCCTGAGTAGCTGGAACTACAGGTGTGTGCCATCCTGCCCAGTTTATTTTTCTGATTCTTTTCTAGAGCAAAAGTCTTGCTATGTTGCCTAAGTTGGTCTCGAACTTCTTGACTCAAGTGATTCTCCCACCTTGGCCTCCCAAAATGCTGGGAGTACAGGTGTGAGCCACTGCGCCCAGCTGGTATTCTGAGACTTTAAAAAGTCACTAAGAAGTATAAAACTCTGAGAAGAAAGGAAAGCAAAGTCTATAAGCAAAGAAAAAGAGAAAAAACAATAATGGCAAGAGGCAATTTGGGAGCAAAGGTCTGAGAACAGAAGGATGAAATATAACATGCTCAGTCATCATTCAGTCTGTTATTTGGAAATAGCTAAGACATAGTTTATTAACTGTCATGAAAAATAACTTTCATAATTTCCATGTCAATGAAAAAAATTATACCCAAAGATAGGCGTTTAAAAAATTATTGTGGCAAAACTGTTGAAATGTTAAAATTCTCAAGTGTTATTACAAAGAATAGTTATTCTATTCTTTTCTCTCTTTTTTTTTTATAGCTGTGGGGTTCAATTTAGGGTTAGGTATACAAATGTTCATTATGCAGGTACCCTTGGTTGATAAGGTATGCCCCTCCATCCCCTGGCAGTTTCCCTCAACTGCCAATCCCACTCCCCCTCCCCCACCAGTTTCCCACTACTGCCAATCTCTTATAGTATTATGATAATTGTTCAAGGTCCACTTATGACTGAGAACATATGGTACTCTGTTCTTTGTTTCCAAGTTGCTGTGAAGTCTGTATGTTTGTCCGTCTTTATGGCTGCATAATATTCCATTGTGTATATGTACCACATTTTTTTTTTTTTTATCCAGTCCAGCTTTGATGGGCAGCATGGTTGGTTCCATATTTTTGCTATTGTGAATAGAGCTACAACAAACATTCATGTGCAGATATCTTTTTTTGTAGAATGGTTTGAGTTCCTCTGGGCATATTCCCAATAGGGGGACTGCTGGGTCATATGGAAGGTCAATTTCTAGTTCTTTCAGAAATCGCCACACTGTCTTCCAAAGAGGTTAGTTATCCTATTCTTAAAACACTGCCAAGAATGGCAATTTTTATTTTATGCCCCTGCTTAAGTAGAGTCAAATGTACTTTGAATATAAATGCATCAAAATGCATTACAATGCCAGATTCTGTTTGGCAGTATATGATAACAGCATGTCACAAAAACACCTACTATATTTAGGATACATGTATAAAGAAATTGAAATTGTATCCACTATCAAAACATTGAAGTGAAAATATTTACTAATAATAAGAATGAAAGACCGGAAAAGCTTTCCTACGGTTTTCACTTAGCAGATTAGGTTCTGAGAAATATTTAAATTCACATAGCAGCCAGGCCTGGTGGCTCAGCTTGTAATCCCGCGCTTTGGGAAGCTAAGGTGAGTGGATTGCCTGAGCCCACAGGTTTGAGACCCATCTGGGCAACTTGGCAAACCCTCATCTCTACAATAAATCAAAAAATTAGCCGGGTGTGGCAGCACACGCCTGTAGTTCCAGCTACTTGGAAGGCTGAGGTGGAAGGATCACTGGAGTCTAGCAGGTCGAGGCTGTGGTGGCCAGGAGCATGGCACTGCACTCCAGTCTGGGCGACAGAGTGAGACTCCAACTCAAAAAATTAATTAATTAATTAATTGTTTATTATATTATTAACCTTATAAAAGTAACATATGCTCATTAGGGAAATTTCCTCTATCTCACAGAGTTAACTACTACTAATATTTAGGTGTATTTCTATCCTGTCTTTTTCTCTCCAAATACTGTATATATGTGTGTATTTTACATATTTGTGTGCCTGCTGCTTTCACTAAACACTACAAGCATTTTTCCACACTGTCAAATGTTTTTCAAAAAACAACCACACTCGTATTTAATTGAGAAAATACATCATATTTTATATAATTATTTCCCTAGAAGCATTTTCACAGATAATCTGGTTTGCTCAAATTCATCTCTAGTTAAACATGTGCACAGGTGTTTTCAGCAAAAAGTGTCCATGTTCCATTTCAACTTCAGTTATTTCCACTATCATAACCACCATATCTCCTTCAGAGCCCACTTCCATATTTAGTATGCCAGGTATTATAAGAATATAATTTATGAATTTATGAAATTAGAGACATACCACATCTAACCCAGCTGCTCTCTTTAACTTTTTGATGAGTGTGTTTTGGAGCTGGGAAAAGATGGTGTGCTGGGGTTGGGGGAGGGGGTTAGGGGAGCAAGAAGAGAAAAGAGAAAGAGAAAGGGAGATAAGGAACTAGAAACTACACTTGATCTTAGCCAAAAGGCTGAGGAACTAGAAAGAAACAATGAGTAGCACAAAAAAATTTTAAACATTTGAAACCTTGATTTACTGATAGGGCACAAAAATGTACCTGCATAAACATTATTATTTTTCTTTCTAGAAAAAAAAAATGATTGCCCTGGCTTCTTTGAAAATACCTTAAAATCATACTATCTCTTACCAGTGCCAATACATTTAGAAATTCTCTTGTGTCAAAATGTAGCAAAGTCCGTACATAAGGATAGATTTCTTCCTCAGGGGAAGCTTCTGCTGAATGTAGGCGAATTAGAAATTCAAAAACCTGCAAGTTGAAAAAAAAAGGTGATAATTCTCTCACCTGACAAAGTATCTTGCTGAAGCAATGATTCCCATTTGGGTAAAATAAAGGCAGATTTGATTCAATTTAAATTGACCACTATGTTATAAGTTCTCTCTTAAATTCTTTCTTAGCTATGATTACTGACTTTAGTAATAGTGTGTAGGCTCTCTCTATAACAGGTGATAACTCCTGACCCAGGTGTAATCCTCAACTGCAATTTGTCTTCAGTGCATTTTAACAAGAAATGTAGACAGTAAACATGCTATGACAATATTACCAACCTGGTTTTTAACCAAGGGAACAAGATCTTCAGGGATGTCACCAAGGGGATAGGCACGACCTGCTAGACTACAGCTAGAAGAAAAGAATGAGAACAGATTTGGTGACTCATAAAGGGGTAACTTTCAAGTGAGTAACACATTATTTCTCAAACTTGAGATACTAGTTCATTTTTAAGCAGGCTCAGCTTTTGTCAGTTAGGTCAAATCCAAACCAGAGCAAGATGACATCCAGTTCAGAAAATGCGAGTGAAAGAAATGGTGGTAAAGGAATATCCTGTGACTGAGCAGGGGCTTTCATTTCTACATATGTTTCCTAAGAAAAGCCCACACTGCACTAAGGGAGCAAGAAGGAATGAGGAAAGACTATCTAAAGGTTTCACACCAAGCATCAAGAAAGATGGTGCCTAATGGCACCATTAAACTATGAATTACCTGTTAAAAAAGCCTGATGTCCTCAGATATTTTTAAACCAGTGGCTCTAAGAATGGTGATTAAAGATAGAGGAAAGGCCAGGCATAGTAGCTCATGCTTATAATCCCAGCACTTTGGGAAGTCAAGGCAGGAGAATTGCTTGAGTCTGGAAGTTCAAGACCAGCCTGGGCAACATAGTGAGACCTCATCTCTACAAAAAAATTAGCTGGATGTGGTAGCACATGCCTGAAGTCCCACCTACTCAGGAGGTTCAGGCAGAAGGACTGCTTGAGCCCGGGAAGTCAAGGTTGTGGTGAGCTGGGATTATGCCACTGCACTTTGGTTTGGGCAAAGAGTAGGATCTGTGTGTGTGTGTGTGTGTGTGTGTGTGTGAGAGAGAGAGAGAGAGAGAGAGAGAGAGAGAGAGAGAGAAAGAGATGGGGAAAGAGCTAGTCCTAGTCTAATAAATATCTGGGCCTGGCTTATACCTATGATCCCAGCACTTTGGAGGAAGTGGTGAGAAGATTGCCCAAGCACTGGGGTTCAAGATCAACCTGGGCAACTTGATGAGACCTTGTCTCTAAATAAATCAAAAAATTAGCTGGGCATGGTGGCACGCAGCTACTTGGAAGGCCAAGGTGGAAAGATCACCTGAACCCATCAGGTCAAGGTTGCAGTGGCCAAGAGTGTGCCACTGTACTCTAGCCTGGGTGACAGAGTGAAACTCGGACTCAGGAAAAAAAAATAGTCTGGAAAATGTCTGCAGTAGGACAAACCTTAAGGGAGAGAGAGAATCTGAAGAGAAATCTGAAGAGAAATTCACCTTACAGTTTCACCTCTAAATCAGATCTCCTTTGTGCCTAATAAGCTGGGCTGAATGATTACAAATGTCTTCTGAATATGTCTTCCTTTTTCCTATTTTTTTTTGAAGGGGAGGCAAATTTTAATCCTTTTTGAACTTATCATCAATTTTCTTTTTCTTTTTTTTGAGTTGGGGGTTTCACTCTGTCACGTAGGCTGGAGTGCAGTAGCACACTCATGGCCATTGAAGCCTTCACCTCCTGGGCTCAGGCAATCCTTCCGCCTCAGTCTTCCAAGTAGCTGGAACCACAGGTGTGCACCATCATGCCCAGCTAATTTTTGGATTTATTGTAGAGACAAGATCTTGCCAAGATGCCCAGGCTGATCTTGAACCCCTGGTCTCAGGCAATTCTCTCGTCTTGGCCTCCCAAAGTGCTGGGATTACAGGCTTGAGCCACCATGCCCAGCCATCATCAACTTTCAATGTTAGATTAAAGACAGATGGATACCAGCATATTTCTTTCTAAAGATGATACAGATGATAAAGCAATGAAAGCTGTTATGCTCTTCTGCACTAAATAAACAACATAACAAGTGTGAAATAGGTCTCAAAGTTAACTCTGAGACTAGTCAGAAGCTAAGATGATGCTCTGGCAAGTTCCGTCACCTTCCTACCTTCCTACCAAACAACTATCTAAAACATCTATATAAAAGTTCTGTCAGTCGGGCTCGGTGGCTCAGCCTGTAATCCCGCGCTTTGGGATTACAGGTGAGTGAGTTGCCTGAGCCCGCGGGTTTGAGACCCACCTGGGCAACTTGGCGAGACCTCATCTCTACAATAAATCAAAAAAATTAGCCGGGCGTGGTAGCGCACGCCTGTAGTTCCAGTTACTTGGAAGCCTGAGGTGGAAGGATCACCGGAGCTCCGCAGGTCGAGGCTGCGGTGGCCAGGAGCATGCCACTGCACTCCAGTCTGGGTGACAGAGTGAGACTCCAAATCAAAAAAAAAAAAAAGTTCTGTCAAGATTCAATTCTGAGCTTGTATAGTCCACTGGAATGAACTCTGCTCTAGGAGTCAGGAGATTAACATTCCAGTTCTACTTCTGTCACTAACTTTTTCATGATTTCAACAAACCTCTTGCCCTTATATGTGAAATAGAGACAACATATATTCCACAGAGTTGTCAGTAGCAAAAGTAAAGTACTCTATACCAAGATTTCTCAATCTCAGTACTACTGATATCTTGGGCCAGATAATCCTTTGTTGTGGGGATTACTCTGTGCTTTTTAGGATGCTTAGCAGCATCACCCCCAGTTGTAACAACCAAAAATGTCTCTAGACATTGCCACACATCTCCAGGGAGTGAGGGACAAAATCACCTATTGTTGAGAACTATTGCTCTACATAAAAGACCTTTGAAAAATAAAAAGTTCTGACAAGAGTACCTCTAAAAATACAGAAGAAACAGAGATAAATAAAAATATCTTACCTAATATATACAAGAAGCTTATTGCCCATAACAACTTGTTCATCTAAAATAGAAAAATGATATATTCAGTAATTCTCTCTCAAAATCTTTTCAGAAATATAATCTTTATGTGGAAACAAAAAATAAAACTTGGCATTTAAGGTGAGGTAAATATATTCCTAAATAACAGAAAATTGACATAAGACCACTTTAACTATTATTTTTGAATTTCTATTAGTTTCTTTTCACAGACACAAAATCAATACGAGTTATTCAAGAATACAACTGAATAGCAGAAGGAATAGATCTGAGAGTAGAGAAATATGTATTGCTAACCAAATCACTAGTGGGGACCAGGGGAAAGCGTAGATTAGGCAATGACTTGACATATTGTAAATCATGACCACTTAATGAATATTAAGGCATAACTATACTGTCTTTCTCATTTGTAACATGGACTTTCACCACCTACATTTCTGAGACAGTAACTGTTTCCTAACGTTTAAAGTAACCTGAACTAAATGATCTTTAGGACCCTGTCAACTCTCAGTTATGTAAACAATGTAAGACTATCATCTAGTGATACAAGTCTATTCTTTGACTAAGGGAAATCAGAAGGACAATTTGACTAAACTTTAGGCCAAGGGGCCAAGGGCAGATCATAGTATACTGACCATAAGAATTTGCGGTGGTGATAATGCAAAGCTGAAGGTTCCATTTTTGTATATGAATACTGGACATAACAGAAGCATGTGCACATCTTATTAATAACCTTTTATAAACACTCTACATTTGTAATGTTATTAGTGCAAATAAATGTAAATTGCTGAAAATTAAATGAATAATTACATTTTGCTCTAGTTCCCAAATGTTATTTGATCCAATTCAACCATTATGACACGATGGTTGGTGATCATCACCTTAATGGAACGCCAAGTTGCTATTTAATGGCTTATCAGATAAACACCTTTCTTGCTAGAAAATCTCAAATAAAGTATACCTAGTTCATGATATTCCCAGAGAGTTAGATTTACTTAACACACCTACTTCCATTATCCCACTTTTATGAGTTTCTTAAGAGCAGAAACTATGTGTTATCTCTGCATTTCTAGCATCTAGCATAATATCTGGCACATAAGTAGGTAATTAGTAAATGCATACTGAACTGAATTGACATAGTACTTAATTTTCTGTATGTTTTCTCTTTCCAATATCTTCTTTTAGACAATTTCCTGTTGTAAAAACTCATCAATTCCATTTGGATTTTTCATTACTCCACTTTAATTTCTGGTAGATGTATGTGTGAAAGGCAATTTTCAAGTTTATTTTTAAAAGATTAGGTTCAGAACCGCTATTAGGTATGAGGGATTAAGCCTAAAAAATGATCATCCCCCCTGCCTGCCCCAGCCTGTATAGTAAAAAACTGCAAAACTTGGACATAATATTGAAAGGACAGACCCAGAATGGGAAGCCATTTTTCATCTTGTTCTTAAACCCTGACACAATGATGAGAAAGTAGAAGCTATGCTTTTGGAGAAATGCACACTTTAGGTATAATTAACTTTACCGACTTTGTCTTTTCAGAAACAGACTTCCAAGTATCTGAGGTATCTCATAGTGGCAATCGAGCTTGCCTAGAATAAAGGGAATTTACAAGGCCTAAGACATCATGCATTGGGCAAGGACTGTAAAAGTCATGAAACTTGTAATTACAAAAGTTATAACTGCTCAGAGGGAGAACAGAAGAGGATTCGATCTTCCAGTAAATTGAGCACTATCTCCAGGGAAGCCAAGGATCCCCCAAAGCTACCCACTGGGAATGCCTAGGAGATAAGCGGAGGTACATCCTCCATTGGGTCTAAGGAATGTGTTTGGGAAGGTGCAGAATTAGAATCCTTGTCACAACCTTCTCTAGGAGCTATGATGATGTGGGCGGACATTAATGGGTCTCTGTGTCACAGGTTCTCCAAGACATCCACAGGTGGTCGATAAGGAAGTCCCAGCAGTCACGTCCAACATCTCCAAGAGAAGGATTTGGGGGGGAGCACCCTACACCGTCACACTCACCTAGAGTATATAGGCCCACTCCCTGTATGTGGGGGGTGAACTTTTCTTAAATAAATCTTTTCTTCTCTCACCTCTGTGTGTTGCAATTCGTTGCAATTTACTCAGATTTCTGGGTTCTCGGCACACACCTCCGGCTTGCCAGCCCCAGCAGTGCTGCATGCCTCACCTCGCCTCTTCACCCTTACCCTGTCCCTGCCATACCCTAACAAATATAAAATTTAATGACTTGAAGTTACTGAAGTATGAAGAGAAAGACATAACTCTGATGGGGAGTTCAGATTCACTGATGGGGAGGAGAAAGAGTCAGCTACACTTTTCGTTTTCATGATCTTTCCCTGGATAAGTATACTCTGAAATGCACACATGGGGAAGGATGGCAGCACATGGAAAAGCCCTTAAATCTTTCTGGCCTTGTGAAGTCAGGAAACCATGAATGTGGAAATAAGTGCTTTCCCAAGGGAAAAGAGTCAAAGAGGGAATACCCAAACTGTTTGCTTCCATCTGTGACTGATGCTTAAACGAACACGCAGGAAAAAGACTTAACACAGCTTAGCCAAAAATGAAAAATCAGGACCAAGCATGGAGCTCCCTCCCTGAAGGTTTTGAAGTGTGAAGAGAAGCACACTCTGGTGGGGAATTGATTCACTTGCAAAAGGACAGATCAAGAGTGAAAAGCCATTTTTCATCTTGTTCTTAAACCCTGACACAATAACGAGAAAGTAGAAGCTATGTTTTGGAGAAATACATACCTTAGATAAAGATTAACCTTGCTGACTTTGTCTTTTCAGAAACACAGACTTCCTGGTGCCAGCTATCAGAGGTATCTCATATCTTTGTTAGCAGGGCCAGGCAGAAGTGGCAATCAAACTTGCCTAGAGTAAAGGGAGTTTACAAGGCCTAAGGCTTCACGCATTAGGCATAAGTTATACAAATCACAAAACTTGTGATTACAAAAGTTATGCAAATCACAGGACTTGTGACTGCTCAGAGGAGGGAGTGGATGGGTATTCAATCATCTAGTAGATTGGGCGCCATCTGCAGGGAAGTCAAGGATCCCCCCCAAGTTGCCCAGTGGGAATGCATAGGGGAAGTGCACCCTCCATTAGCTCTAAGGAATGTTATTCAGGAATGTTCAGGAGCACTGGGATCCTTATCACGCCCTTCTCTAGGGGCTGTGATAATGTGGGCGGGCATTAGTGGGTCTCTTTGTCACAGGGTCTCCAAGACATTCACAGATGGTCAATATAGAAGTCACGGCAGTCACACCTACCTGACTGCAACATCTCCAGGGAAAAAGATTTAAGCCAGGACTCGGAGGAGCTATGGGGTCACCCTCATCTAGAATGTAGGCCGGCTTCCTGTCTGTGGGAAGCGAACCTTTCTTAAATAAATCTTCTCTTCTTTCACCTCTCTGTGTGTTGCAATTCTTTGCATTACTCAGATCTCTGGTTTGTCGGTGCATATCTCCAGCAGGCTGGCTCCGGTGGTGCTGTGCTCTCTCCACCCCTCCACCTTCACCCTAACCATGCCCTAACAACTTGGAGAAGAGGAGACAGAGAGTTGCACAGGCAAATTACCATCACTCAGGTTTTTAGCCGGAGACAAAGTGCAGACTATGTGGCAAGCACAGTAGAGCTGTGGTGTGCATGGAAAAAGCAGCAATCTTTCTGGCCAGGGGAACCAGAAAAGAGAAGTTAGGAAATCAACAATTAAAAAACAAAAAAACCAACAACAACTGGGGGAATCTTGCAAAGAAAAGAGCCAGAGGAAGGATCCCCAACTCTGCTCGCACTAATTGATCCTTGAACCATGTGTATAGATCAGAATCAAAGCAGATCAGCTAAACAGAAATGACTGAAGAGAGACTAGAGCTGCCACAAGAGAAATACAGTCTGCAATCCAAGCTCAGCCTAGAAAGTTACCTAATAAAACAAAGGAAAAATATACTCAGTGGGGGAAAATAACAGAATCCAGAATCTCCACAATGTAACATTCATAATATCCAGATATAATCCAAAATTATCCAACATATGAAAAACCAAGAAAATAAAATATATTCTTCTAAAGAAAAAAAAGTGATTCAAGTCCAATCCTTTTGAGATAAAATGTTAGAACAGACAAGAATTTTAAAGCAACTGTTATAATTAAGGCAGGATAGCTAGCACAGGTTAGACATAGATATATAAATTTCCCATAGGTAGGTTTTAGGAAGCATTCAGACATTTTTAAAATTACATTTTACTACAGACCAAGCTGCAGCCTACCCCACCCCCTCAGCAAATCAAAAGAAAACTCCATCAGATGCAAGACTAGGACAGCCCAATCTTTCAATTCATGGTTTAGCATAATAAACACTAAGAAACTTTCAGGTACCCTGTCAAAGGCAGACGGTCAAACACCACCCCCTTAACTGACCAAAGCCACAGAAATGATAATAAGACCACCTTGTAGTTCAGGAACTTGTGAATTGGTCTGGCAGGTCTCCTGCAAAAGACAATATGGTCAGGAAAAGACCACCCCTACCCCTCCTATCAGGAGCCCAGAGATATTAATCTCCAGAGCAATGGTCACCTAAGCTCTACCCTCTTTAGAATATCAATCATTGTGAAGGTATATCAGGTCTATTGCAAAGAGCAAAAGGTAAAATTTCTTTCTCTCATGCCAGCTCTGGCATGTCACCCTCTCTTTTCTCTCTTCTTTCTCTAATAAACTTTGAAAACTTTGCTGGCTGTTCTAAAATTTATTTGAGAAATGAGCCAAAGAATCAACGAGTTTTGCACTGCACCTCACCTGGCATCGATAATCACCCTCAATGAAGTGAAAGAAAATATATTTCAGTGCATGAAAATTTCAACAGACAAATAAAGAGTTACAGTAGAGAAACAGAAACAAAAAAGAACAAAATGGAAATTACAGACTGAAAAATACTGTTAAAAGAACAAATTTTAAAAAATTAAATTTAAAAGAGTTTAACTGAGCAAAGAACAATTTGCAAAT